ACAACTTGAGGGTGGAGGTCGTGCTGTCGGTAGGGGGCTATCTGCGTGATTGTGCGCTAAGTGTCGAGATCGGGCTGTCCGGCGAGCAGCTATGGCGCGTAGCAATGGTCTTTTTGGCTATAGGCCAGGTCATTTGAGGTTCTACTGGAGCTGGGAGCCTATGCGGGAAGAGGGGGCTACAGTGGACGCTTGCCTGAGCTACAGAAAGAGTGACGGGCTGGCGAGACTAAAGATAAACGTCTACGGAGGGAAAGAACAAGAGACGAGGGAGGATAAAAAAGTGCAAGGGGTAGTCACCGAGGCTTGCGACCGAGCCGAGCGAAGGTGCAGGAGGGATGGAGTGACTGCGGCCCTCAAGGTTACGGTCGCTTACCACGAGGAAGAAACCTCCACTAGTACGACGGAGAGGGAGCAGCAAGAACTGGACCGGGACTCAGAGGCTGAGTCTGAAGCCAATGATACACTAACCCAGTCCTGACATGGGCTGGAACAGTGGAGGAGAGAGCACCCGCCAGTTGAGTCGGTAGAGGATGGTCCGGGGGCCAGTTCGCGTCAGCAACAGGTGTGAGAACAGGACCACTCAACCATGGCAGCAGGAAGAGGGGGACCTGAGTTTAGTCGCGGGAGCAGCGAGGCCAAGCGTGGGAGGCGGTTACGCGCGAACGAGAGACGATGATACTGTGGGACTTGGCGCATTGTGAGGAGAGCAGAGACGAAGTGAGAGGTCATGAGCTGCTATTGACGTCAACGTTGTCTGGTAGGAACAGCGAAATCACTACCCTTGCGGGATCTGAGTAGTTGTCCTCGGAGGGCCGTACCGTCTTCCACCTCTAACGTGGGGACGAACAAGAGTTACCACGCATGGCATGACTGACGCGAGTGCGAGTATACGGTGGAAGTCAGACCCTATGAGGATGTCTGTGGGAATCTTTGTTGATGTCACTGGCTATGACCGTCTTCTCCTTCCTTCTCCTTTCGTTCTCTCTCTTCTCTCGATCTCTGCATGGAGCGGCAGTGATGATTGGCGTCACCCTTAGCTCCACTTTCTTGTCGGTGACTGATGGTAAGCGAGAGCCCGAGTAAAGATCCAGAGGGAATAGACACTAGGAACAGGGTTTAGCCGCGAGTTGACAGGAGAGTGAAGTCGGACCAGTGTGCGTGCATACTCAGAGGGCGATAGGTTCGAAGAGCCGGTTAATACATGATACGAGTACGCATGAGGATCGCGGAGAGAGCATATGGTTTGCGCTGACTTCAAGCCCGCGCAAATGACCTGCGAGTGACGCCTCTCGCATTTATCATCTTCTCTTCATCAGTGCAGTCAGTTCCCATCCGTCATTGCATTGTAAGGTTATCTCTGACCATGCATGACGGAGAGCATTCTCGGATGGAGTGCGGGCAAGAGGCTCACTCGAAAAGGCAACAAGATTGAGGGCGACCTGCGAGAGGGTTACAGAGTAAGCACGAGTGGAGTTAGCCAGCTAACTTTCGTCTGCGAGTGACGTTCAGCGTGTCTTGGAAGGAAGTTGGAAGAGCACCTCCCTGGTCTGTTCTATCGTCCGATCTACCCCACTCCCATTTTACACCTCATCTCTACCACGACAAAGGAGGGACAAATCAACACCAAGTGTGGGGGTGAGGTTTACCAGTATGAGAGTTCAAGTTTGCCTAAGAGCTCGGGGTCAATGCCCTTCGCTTTTTGTGTACTAAGCATGCCTCCCATCACTTCGTACCCTCGCCCTCACGGTAAAGCGGTCTGAGTGGCAAGCACTGGCTTTCAATAAGTAATGAGTATGAGGCTTCAATTAGGCAACTTTTATCACTCACACCCTTTTCTTGGTTACTGTTAGTTATTCTACTGGGTGATATCAGTTTAACGGCTCATGCTTTTGATGCTCGCATTGCGAAAGGAGTGGTCATTGGTTATGCTAAAGAGCTATCGGTATGCATGAGCGAGGTAAGCTTTGTGAGTTATGGGTCTATGAAAGCGATCTTCAACGATTTGCCTCCTCCAACTGCCAGTGGTCGCTTTTGCCTTAGGGTTTGGGGAGACGAGGGCCGGCAAGCTCATCCAGCGCTATCCTGATCTGGTACAGTCAGTCTGAAGACATGAAGAGTGAGTCCATGCCCTGTTTAAAAACTCGTTATATGAGAATTGAAAGGCTACCTCGTCAGGGAGAACTTGAGCGCAATTGCAGAGGTTGGTTTACAGTGTATCTTTTAAGTGTTGCGAAATGGTCGAGCAATTTCTGAGAGATATGTACAATCTACCAGGGTTACTATTGTGAATCTATGGTTCAATCATCTTGAGCTCTCAGAAAACCCTGTCATTGGAGTTGCATGAGGATAAAGGATGAAAGACGGGTAATGAACGAAACCGCACCAGCTGGTTTCTGGAAACGGACTCAGCCCGAGTGCGGTTCCTTGAACTTAGTTACTTCCTATTGTTGTCAATTGATGGGAAAAAGGCAGTCTGCGGTGCGAAAGATAGCCTACTTGTTAGCTAAGTACCTACTAGATGAGGATTAGGTAACCTGGATGTTCGACTGGACAAACTGCAAGGTCAAATTTTATTATGCTGGGAAAAGGAAAAGATATTGTGATACCTGTCCTGATCTGATCTCTACGAGCCAGTTCATTAAGTATGGCAAATCCTAAATATGCTCTCTGACTCTCCATGACTTAAGGGTGTGTTATGCACTTTGTGACAAGATTTACACGCCTCGAACTAAGTAGAGACAACTTTCAATAAACTACGGGTTCACACTTGTAGCTTCCGTTTAGTGCGGATTTGTCTAGTTAACTGCGATTTCGTCAAAACGTTCATTTTTTATTTTTTGCGCGAAATTGAAAGTCCATTTTTTTCCGATTTGTGTATGTATTTTATGCAGTGTTTTATGGGTATAGGGGGTAAAGGGGTAAGGGGTAAGGGGTAAGGGGTAATATGGGTAAGGGGTACGAGATCATATGAAGTAACACATGAATGGTATTCAATCGGGCATGTCGCGTTGTTACTTTGTTAAATACATTCGGACATTTTCATACGTGTCTATCCAGCAGAGCCAATGATCTCTTTACATTTGCAAAAAAATAAACGAATGTTTTGCTTTCATAATGTCGTCTATCAAATGTCATTTGTTGCACAAGTAACTCCTATTTCGCTGTGACAAGTACATCTAAAGCGATCCGTCCCCTTATATTGTGGATGTCGTCGAAAGAGAAGTTGAATGGCGGAAGAAATCCTCTGCCAACAGTGACGCATATGTTAGCATAAAGACACCGCATTCGTTAATGCCGCGCTGTCTAGGAATGTCTGGCATATTCCATATGTGGTTGAAATCTTTTGTATCCACCACCTTTCCCTGTTCAACCGATCTTTCGAACAAGAATCTTGCGAAACCACCTGTCACTTTCCTTGCCAATTCTTTGTCAGGCGTAAGCGAGTCGTAGTACTTCATTTTTTGGCGCCTTAGGTCAGCTATTACTAGTGTCCAATGGTTGGAATTCCGGACATGGAATGGAGCTATTATTAAGTCCACGTCACCCACATCGATATCTATCATCCACTTCTGCACTGCGCTGTATTGGTATTGCATGTCGTCGTCGAACAATTTCGCGAAGAAGAAGAAACTAAAAATTGTTGTTATCGGGATGCGCCCTTTTTCTTCTACTACTGTTCCATCTTGTTCACTATCACACTCGTGATGGCTTATGCGACAGATGTTGTCAAGCCTTACGAGGTTCAAATAAAAGTTAACTATTTCGTTGTTTAACCAATTGCCTTGATATAGTATCAAGCTCAAATCATGCCCGGTTAGTGTTAGTTTTTCTTTCGTTGGCCCGTTGTACGTGGATGTCCAGACCGTCCGATTCTCCGCTTGCACTGAATCTCGTAAATGTTGCACCGCAGCCGTCTCCTTCTCCGATAACTTATCCATTGCTAAGTGGATCGCCCATCCCTGTTTGCATCTTCGTACTTCTTCTATGTTCCTCCTTTCTACACATGACAATGCATTATACCGCAGCGTAAGCTATCGTGATCGGGGTCTGTCATATTTGCATGCTCGAAACGGCGGAGAAAATTTCAATTGCTAAATCCTGGCAACAGGATATTATAGCGAGTTGACATGAACACCCCGACCTCCATCTTCCTCGTAATATGGCGCATAACACAACTACAATTCTTGCCCAAGTTTCGTGTACTTTTTGAAAGCAAATAGATCAATGATACTTTTCGCGATCTATGGTGGTTAACGGTAACCCTGCTTTCATCAGTTCTTTGATGTTCATGTTCAGTACTCTGGGCAGTATTTAGAATATAAGTTCACTATTCCAGCCTTGCTGTTTCACATATTTTCGTGTTTTTTTTTTTTCTTCATTTTGTTAGTATGGTTTTCTGTTTTTAAGTTCGTCGGGATTCAGGTTAAGACGACCATTCGCAGCGCCCTAGAAGATGGCATAACAAGTTCTCTGAAATTAGAGGTGTCCTTGACACACGATAGGCAAAGTGCCCCATATAGTGTGTTTTCATATGCCTTTATTATAAAACCGTACCAAGCACGTACATACAATTTAATCCACACACACAACCTAACGCTGGTGACAAGTCGACCTCTTCCTACTCACACAGATGCACACACACACACACACACACACACACACACACACACACACACACACACACACACACACACANCACACACACACACACACACACACACACACACACACATACACACACACACATACACACACACACACACATACGTATCGAGATGGGGCGCCCTCTATTATCGGCACTATAGTTTCAAGAATTGCGGTGTCACAATAACACTTCCATTAAGACAACAATATAACCCAAAACGCGTTTACACCCATTCCTGTCTAACATAGTACCCAGCGGCAACCTATCAATTTAACAAGAAATGCGTAGACACCCCATGTGAGGACCGGTGAATATCGCATCATGATTTGTGGCCACACATCAATATAACCTGAAACGTGTAAACGCCCATGCCCGTCTAAGGCTTTTCTACGCATCAAACACAGTTTTCTTAATTACTGCTCTCGTTGACCGTCTCGGTCGTTGCGCGTCCTCTTCGTCGTCACCTTCCACTCGTGGTGCAGCGTGGTCATCTTTCTGGTCGTTATCTTGGATCATATCCTCGCCCGTACTCTCCGATCTCATATCTATTACGGAAATGTGTTTGCGAGATCCCTCACCTTTCTTCGTCTCCTCTGTTGTTGCCGCCACCTGCTCTGGCGCCACCTTCACGGTCTGGCTTTCAGCATCCTGGCCCGCATCGGTCTCCATCATTTCAGATACGCCTTGCCTCGCCGCCACTGTCGCGACAAGAGACCCGAAAGATCCAACGATTGTTGCCCCATCGTCGACCCGGCGCGTTGGCGGCTCTGTCAATGTGCCCGACTCCATTGCGCTTCTCTGTGTGCTTTGTTGAATACATGCTCGCAACTATTCATTCTGTATGTGACCTGCGTTCGCACGTGTGTCCGTTTCGTAACCTGCATCCCCTCTGGCCATCGCAACGATGGTGTTAGACGCGATGACGTCTTGAGTCTTCAGAGAGGTGATGCTATCAATTCCTTGCACTGCTGACGCTTGTTTGATTTTCCAATCGATGGAGCCGTACGACACACTTGATGCAAGGTCGTAGAACTTTGTGCTGAATTATAGTTTTTTGTTCGCACGCAGTTGCTCAAATGAAGCTTTCGCCTTTGCCGCTACAGCCACCTCGGTTGCACCGACATTTTCTTGTGCAACCCGCCGAAAAAGTTGCGTCTCCGTCACGCTGTGCCATATCGCAGCGTCCTTTCTTTCCTTCGCGACCCACCCGCGGTCTCTTGTCTTCACAGCCATTTGCCACTTGCCCGCAAACACGCACGGTTCGAACACACCCTCATGCCAGAGAATATGATGACCCCAGTCCTCCTCCGATGACTCCTTGTACTTGTCTTGCAGCGAGTATGGCACTGAAGGGTCTTGAGCAAAGCCTTGAGGTAACGGTTTTCTTGGCACGAGCTTCGGCATGACTGCTGTCATATCCATGTTTTCATCTTCATCTGTGTCCATCGACGTAAGCGTTCGCTGCTCGGCCTGCGGTGCATGGGTCGATGATGGTCCAGCTATCGGCGGGGTCATTTYACACCCATTCTTTCCTCCCCCTGTGTTGCCCCATGAGTTAACAATTCCCTCACTCGCACCCACCGGGTTCGTTGGTACACCATTCTTTTCTCCCCTTGCATTCATTCTATGTTCCACGTCTCCCTCACTTGCATGTGTCGCTCCCAAACTTGACCTCGCCTTCTCCGCTTCTGCGTTGGTGCTCCCTTGCGGTTTCTCTGCACGTGCTCCCTGCGCCGAACGTCGTGTCGCGTGCGACAGAACGTCCAGGTCGGAGTCTGACGTGTCTTCGTCACAATCGATGTTGTTGAAGTTCCCGGCTTTACGTGCCAAGTCCGCATAGTCCCTGCATGACAATGCTATTTTCTTCATATTGAAATACAGATGCTCACAACGCGCTACGAACATGTGGGAAGCACCCATGTGCGATCCGTGGTACTCGTTCATTTTTATCTCGAGTTCACTTTTCCTGATGACGTAGTCGTTATCAACCGCCGTCCGTGGAGCGTCACCGAACAAGTAAGCCCACACCTATGTTACCGTGCGTTCATTGAACGCGCGTTTCGCGTTCCAAAAATGAACGCGGTGAACGCGCGTTCACTGAACGCGTCTGAACGCATTTGACGTGTTCGCGCAGGGGGGTGGGGCGTGGGGGGGGGCTTTGGGTAGTGTGGCGAGCGGCGG